ACATGGCATAATCGTCACACACTGTGCACAGTATATTTACGTTCACATTTGGCTTCATCTGAGGATACGGGAGCGCTGTCCCGGGATCCTCCCTCCACTCTCCAGCCCCCGGCTGGGTTTTCCTTGAGTTCTGCTGCAGGCTTCTTTGCTCAAGCCTTGAAGCCATTCGTCTCCGTTTTCCTGGCTCCCTGTGTTACCTTTCACTGCACTTGCTGGTTCCCCACTTGGTCAGATTAAAAAATGCATACATCTGCTGTAACTATTCCTGGTCAAGTTCACGGAGAATTTCAAAGCTTATCACGGGCATCTGATGAATCCTCACCACTCTTTTTAAACCTGGCTGGAAGGAATAGCATGAAAATGGTGAGTCTGCCTAAGTGCAAAGAGTGTGAGTGTGAATCTCCAAGCTGTGTGACTTTGGGTAAGTAACACCACCTCTCTGAGCTTCAGTTCCCTTTTCTGTAAAATGTGAAGCAGTGAAGTTTGCCGAAGCCCCACTTTTATTTTTCATAGTCTATATATACATATCTGGTATTCTTAGATGCACAGGAAAACTGAGTGGAAGCTGCAGAGGGTTCTCCTCTGCCCCCAGCCCTGCACATAACCAGCTCCTCCAGCGACACCCCAGGATGCATTTACTTCAGTCCCTGACCCACACAGATGCACCATGGTCACCTGAGTCCATGGCTCACATGAATGCTCACACTGGGGGCCGTGGGATTTTTGACCTGTGGAAACTGGAATGGGAAAAACATGATGGAAACCAGGAAGGAGAAGAGGAGACCTGAATTTGGAGCTGGCTGGGGCAGTACAGCTGAGGCACAGTTGGTGTGGAAGAGGGCTTGGCGAGGCCTCAGCTGCCCAGATGAGAAATGTGTGCTCTCCCTGGGGGAGGCTGTAGGAAGCCACCAGGTCGCCACTGGAGGACATGCAGGGATCCAGGCAGATGGAAGGCTGGTAAGAGAAATGACAGGGGTGGCAGCTGCAGGAGCTGGGAGAGCCCACGGCCGGAGGCGGTTGTGTTCCCAGGCTGGGCGACACATTCTTGACCTGGGTGGTGGCAGTGAGAACAACTAGGTTTGACCGTGACTCTTCAGGCGTCCCCATCTTGCCTGGCACCATCTCCCAGGCCGTGCCAGGTGCTGACAAATGTGCCTCACCTGATCGCAGGAAGGGGCACCGGCAGGGCCGGGCAGCAGAGCCCATTGACGGGGACGCCCCAGGGTGGCAGGGTGGTTTTAGCTTCTCCGGAGCTGGCCTTCACTGTGAACAGAATCATCCATGTGTTTTTCTTTTTCTTTTTCTTTGCTCGTTAACAGTGTAGGAGTTGTGTGCGCATGAGTAAGAGGCAGGAAGCGGGACGTGAATCTGCTGTTCGCCCTTTCCGCCCATGCCCAAAACGCGCAGGCTCTGGGAAGTGCTGGAGCCTCAGACGCACACGGGCGGGAGGTGACCCCTCAGTGGACCTCATCTCTGCAAGCCTGCCTTCTCATGTCAGTCTCAGGATTGTGACAGAACAGGGACAGCTAGCTTCCATGCTCTGCCCCTGAGGGCTGGCCAGGCAGGTGCCCATACTCCCTATGCACCAAACCCCTCTCCATTTTCTCAGCACCTCTGATGAAGGAGTCACCTCCCCCCCGCCCCCGCCACGTTTTACAGAAAAGGGAACTGAAGCTCAGAGAGGTGATGTTAGTTACCCAAAGTCACACAGCTTGGAGACACAGCCACGCTCTTCACGCCTAGGCAGACTCACCATTTTCATTCTATTCCTTCCAGCCAGGTTCTAGAAGGATGGTGAGGATTCATCAGGTGCCTGTGACAAGCTTTGAAATCCTCCGTGAACCTGCACAGGGACAGTTGCAGCAGGTTTATGCCTGTTTGCTGAAATGTAGGGACAATGAGGGGTCCAGCCATGGGTGAATGGATAAATAAACTGGGACACCAAAGGGATGAAATATGACTCAGCACTAGAAAGAGAGGACTGTCCAGTCATGAAAACATAGAGGAGCTTTACATGCATAATACGAAGTGCAAGAAGCCTGTCTGAAAAGGCTACATAGTATATGATCCAATTACATGACTTTCTGGAAAAGAAAAGGCTTCGGAAAAAGAAAAAAGGCCAGTGACTGCCAGGGGTTGGCAGGGAGGGAGGGCAGAACAGGCGGAGCACACAGGATCTGCAGGGCAGTAAAAATACTCTGTGCGATACTCCAGGGACAGGCAATGCCATTATGTGTTTGTCAAAAGTCCAGAACAGACATGGAGCCTGAGCTCTAATGTAAACCATGGATGTTGGGTAACAATGTATCAGCTTAAGTTCATTGAGTGTACCAAGCCTAGCATTCCACTGCAGGGCATGAAGTACCAGTGTGCTATGAGTTCATTCATTGTAGCAGATGTACCTTCCTTGCAGGGTGTTGCATGAGAACAATGTATCAGTGTAAGGTCATTCATTGTTAACAGATGTGCCATTCCCTACAAGATGTTGATGGTGGTGGAGTAGTGGGGTGGCATATGGGAACTCTGTACTTTCTGCTCAATTTTGCTGTGAACCAAAACTTTTCTTTGTTTTTTTTTTTTTTTTTTTTTTTAAATGAAGTCTTACTCTGTCGCCCAGGCTGGAGTGCAGTGGCACAATCTCGGCTCACTGCAACCTCCACCTCTAGGGTTCCAGCGATTGTCCCGTCTCAGACACCCGAGTAGCTGGGATTACAGGCATGAGCCACCACCCCTGGTTAATTTTTGTATTTTTAGTAGAGACAGAGTTTCACTTTGTTGGCCAGGCTGGTCATGAACTCCTGACCTTAAGTGATCTGCTCACCTCAGCTTCCCAAAGTGCTGGGATTACAGGTGTGAGCCACCACTCCAGGCCAAGCCAAAACTCTTCTAAATGATAAAGTCTGCCAAATATCTATCTGTCATCTATCTATCTGTCCTAAAGGGCCCAAATAAAAATTTACATATATGATTGAGTTTGAAGCATTTGGGTTAAAGTTCAATAGCATCTTCTTTTTAAAAAAAATTATTTTAAGTTCCAGAATGTATGTGCAGGAGGTGCAGGTCTGTTACATAAGTAAGCACATGCCACGGTGGTTTGCTGCACCTGTGAACCCATCACCTAGGAATTAAGCCCCACATGCATTAGCTATTTATCCTGAGAGCATCTTCCTTTCACAAAAGAGCCAGTCGATTTTTTCTAAGGGATCTCTTACTACTCTTTATTATTGCATTTATTGTTTTGTTTTTCAGAGAGAGGTCTTGCTGTGCCACCCAGGTGGAGTGCAGTGGTGCCATCATAGCTCACTGCAGCCTCAAACTCCTGGGCTCAAGTCATCCTCTACCTCGCCCTCAGGGAGCTGGGAGTAAACGCCTGAGCTCTTTGAGGTACTTCTAACTTGAAAACATGATATGAAGGAGCTGAAACAATACCTGCTTTCTAGAATTGCCACTGGCAGATTGTCCCTGGCATCTCGTTACCATCTGGAGGCCATGCCAGGCTGTCCATCTGAGGGACTTGGGCTTTTTGTGTTTTGAGCACAGCTGGGTAACTGAGTCCTGCACACACTTTTACTGCTGGGACCAAATCTACTTGCATAAAACACTCTGCAGATCTACAGTGCTTCCATGACAGGGGGGAAAAGGACACCCAACCTCTTTGATTGTGTTATGACCTCCAAAATGATGTTTGCCCTGCTTTTGCAAGCCTGGAGAAAGACAGGGCCACCCACAAGCAGAACTAAGGCTCCTCAGTGTCTCTGTGTATTAATGTTGTGGACACCACATAGAGAGACAGTTGTGATGGGACCCACAAGAGCTGCAATTAAGCAGGTGGCCGCATCACTGCTCTACCCGTTTCCAGCTGGGAGACTTAGGCCAGGCTTCTTTAACGTGTCCGAGTATCTGCTGCCTCCTCTGTAGAACGCTGGCTCATTTGCCTGAGGGCTGCTGTGAAAGCTGTTTAGCCATGACTTTGAAGGCGCTAAGCTCCATGCCTGGCACATCGTAGCACTGTTAATTACCATCCGTAATTATGTCCTGAGGAGGGCAAAGGGCACAGTAGCGGTTACTGGGAGGCCTGAACAAGTCGCTTGAACACGGAACACGGTTTTCTTTATCTGTCAAATGGGCGGGCATTCAAACGCTTTTGTCTGTTTCGCAAGTTTGTGGCGAGGATCCCTTCAAGTTTTGGGCATGTCATTTTGAAAGGTGGCAACCACGTTCTGAGTGCTTGTGACGGGCGAGGCACGTGCTACGGGTATGCCACGGCTCCGCTCAGGGGGTGCTCCCAGGGGCTGGTCCCTGACATCTGTGTGTGTGCCGGGTGGGGTGGGGTCTGTCTTCTTCCCAATAAGCGAAGGCACCGCCAGGCTGAACGCCCTCCTCTCTTCCCGCTGGACTGGAGCCTGGGAGGGCATGGACGTGAGGGTCGGGCAGCCCGGTCTCCCCGAGCCCTCCCCGGCCCTTAGGTGGACAAACAGGAACGACAGAGCGGAGCAAGCGCAGGCTGCCACGTTCTTCCTCTCAGGGTATGCGGAGGTCAGGGTGAGAATCCACCGGTGTTTCTCAAAGGATGGCCCCCGGGCGCCCGGAGCGCCGCCGCCGGGGCTGGGCCTGGGCGGGCCCCGAAGCTCCATCTGCCTGCCCGTTTAGAGAGCTGCCGGCTGAGTCCGCCGCACCCCCAGATGTGAGCACCCGAGGGCGCGTCCTGCAGGAGGAGCAATCAAGGCGGGCTTCCCGGAGGAGGCGGCCCCTGGGCCTGGAAGAGGAGGTGGGATGTGTGTCAGCCCGCAGCGGGCTCCGGGAGGCCGGGCACTCGTTCACTTCAGTAACTTCGGGGCTTGGTAAACCGCCCGCGACGGGCGGCGCTCGACAGTGACTTGCTGAGAGCAGGAGCCGCAGGACCGGGAGCGGCGCGACTGTCCGTGGAGCAGGTTCCACGCACCTGCGCAGGCGCGCCGGGCCCACGCCCACTCAGGCCCCGCCCCTCCCACCACTGCGCAGGCGTGGAGCGGGTGACGTCAATGTGCGCCAGACTTGGCCCCGGAGGCGTCGCGCGCAGACGGCGTAGCCATGTTGCCGAGGACGGGTGAGGGGGTGCAGCGGGGCGCTGGCGGCGCGGAGTGGGGAGGGGTGGCCGGGACCGGTGAGGGTCGAGGCAGGGCCACCGGGACTGGCAGAGCATGGGGCGGAATCACCGGAGACGGGCGAGGGGGTCGGAGGGGATCTGTGCTGGGTTCCGTCGAACCAGCGGCTCTCTCGGACCCGGGATCCCGAGAAAGCTGTCGGGAAAAAGAAAGATAACAGGAGGACGAGGCGGGAGGGACGCCTGCCGTGCGCGTGGGGGAGCCCCTGGCCTGTAGGAGGTCACTCTCCGCGGGAAAAGCGCTGGATGATGGCTCGCAGCATTGCCTGGCAGATAGGACCCCGTGCTCCTAGTACACAGGGTGTGCCAGGCTCTTTTACATGCTGGAGCCGCAGCGGTGAGCAGGTCCACTCCCACCCGGCCTGCGTGGGCAGCTTGCACACAGTCCGTAGACGGGCGGTGATCCGTGTGCTGGCGTGGTAAGGTGACCTTTGGGGAAGCCTGCTCTGTGCCAGCACAGACCTGGAGTTGGAGAATGAAGAGTGAATGAGACTCACGCAGACCCAGCAGGGCCCACCGCCTGCTGGGGGAGCAAACAGACAGTTACAGAGTAGGGTTCAGGCATTTCACACGTTAGTAACTGTCACCTTTCATTATTCTGATTATTCCCCACGGTTTTGGACCTTTCCAGAGGAAAGGCTCTGCCCTTTTATTTTGCAATGCCTGCTCCCCCTGCCAGGTAGCCCGTTGCTTTTTTAGGGGGAGTCAGGGTTGTGGGATTAATTGACTCCAGAGCAGGGGCCACAGTGTTATATTTCTGTGTAACACTGTGGGGTGTCCTGCACAGGGCTGGGGGCATTCCAGGCCTTCTGGGCTGTTGGTGAAAGCAGCTCATGTGGTAACTTTGTAGTCATTGTTCCAATGTAATTGTTTCTGTTTGAAGAAAACCCCAATGGTAGGGGTACTCTTTCCATTCCTAAAGGAGGGTCATCTGCCTGAGGCTGAGCGCACAGTGAGGGTTTCCTGGGGGAGGTCGAATCTAGGCTAGACCTGAAGGGGAGCAGAGGAGGTACAGGGCCTCAAGGGAGACGTGGGCAGGTCAGGTATACTGGGGCCAGGGAAGGACAGTCCTTGAGCCACTTTTTGGATTCAGAGTGAGGAATGACAGGAGATGAGGCCAACATGGTCATCTAATTATTAGGTCCACACTAATAAAGGGATTGTAGTCAGTAATCCAAAATAATCGCTGGTTTATAGATGACTTAGTTCTAAGGCAAGCTTACCTGACTTATGACAAGAATAGAGGAATCGTAGTACATCAAGACTGAGAGGACAGTTCTCTACATCAGCAGAACTCTAGGAGGGCTTGCTTACAAGGTGTAGGTTCTATTATTCTCCCCTACTGCTACAAGGTTAGTATAACTGGATTAAATATTACGGCTATGCTTAATTTACTCTGAACTTTAATAATTTCTCCTGAGTATGTGGTGGCACATGCCTGTAATCCTAGCTATTCAGGAGGCTGAGTCAGGAGAATTGCTTGAACCTGGGATGTGGAGGTTGCAGTGAGCTGAGATTGTGCCATTGCACTACAGCCTTGGCAGCAAGAGCGAAACTCCGTTTCAAAGAAACACACACACACCCCACTTATCATTACATTTTTTGATGTAGAGACCAAAAGACCTCAATCTGGTCTGGCATAGTTGTGAACTCTGGTGTAGGAGACTGAGTGTGTAACGGGAGGGGGCTTTCCACATGTGCTGTGAAATTCCTTTGTATGTTAATAAGTGGTAATCCTTTGTTGTAATAGGTGTCTCCAAACAGGACATTCGTGAACACATTTGGGACTACATGGAATCACAGAATTTAGCTGACTTTCCCCGCCCTGTTCACCACAGGATTCCCAACTTTAAGGTACTGACACATTCCTGGAGTATGTCAAAGGAAAAGAAGATCTTCCTAAATGAATAACACTGTTAATAAAATTATTGTAGTGCTTCATGGTGGATCAGAATGTGGTGAGCAGTGAGTAGCGGTGTGAAATCAAAACCATTTGGCAAGGGTGTCCTTAGCATTTAGAGATGCCAAGTACCCTTCACCTGGGGCCTCTTTCCTCTCTGAGCGGGGTGGTTTGGTTGTTTCTAGGTGAAGTGGTGTTACTTGCTGTTTTCTGTTTGATACAAAGTAAAATACTTATCCTGGCTGGAAGCATGCTATTGCTGTGACGACTTTTCACAAAATTGGCCCTGCTAAGAGCATTAGGGAGCGAAGGCCACTGAAACGAAAGCCCAGATGCTAGCGCCTTTGGAAAGAAATGGATGCCTTGCCAGCCTGACGAGGCTGGGCCTCAGTTCCCCAGCTGATCAAAACATAAGACAACCAAAGATGGCTGTTCCTAACAGTGTTGACAGTAAAAAAAAAAAAAAGTTACTTGAAAGAGGCAGTGCAACGGTTCATAATCTTTGCCATGCCTGTTTTCCAAGACAAAAAGAAAACGCTCTTCAAAAATGCCCTCCCCGGCCTGGAGGACTCAGCTGTTTGCTTTCTTCAGCCCACCTTGTCTCGATTGCCTCTCTCCAGGCCTGGCTTCTCCACAGCAAGCTCCACCTTCTCTGGTCCTCAGCTGAGGTGGCTCCAAGACTGTCCTGTCCCTTTGAAAAACTGCTTTTTTTGTATGGTTTTTTGTCGTTACTGTGCTTTGTTTTAATGCTTCTTACCCTAGAGAGAGAAACGTATCTTTACAAAGATGAAGGATGTAGAGAACATGTAGAAATCTTTAAAGTGAATCAGACAGGAGAGAGGTGGGGCTTCCAGGTCATGCTGTGGCTTTTGGTGGTGGTTACATAGCTGTGCTCATTTCGTGACAAATCATCCAATTTTGTACTTAGGATTTGTATTCTTTTTGCAATGCATGCTTTATTTCAGTAAAAACTAAATTGGGGCTAGGCTACTTTTCTCAAATCCCTTTCTCCCCTGACTACTTCCTTAGATGTTGCTTTGGGTGACTGTTAGTGCCTGTCTGGGTGAGATTCTGGGTGGAGCTCCCTGGGTGGCGGTTGGCCTGAGGGCTGTTGTCCTCTAAGTAACAGGTGATTGCGTTGAAAACAGGGAGCTTCTCATGCTGCCGAGCAACTACTGCGCTTGCCAGCATTCAAAACGGCCAGGACCATAAAAGTAAACCCTGATGCTCCCCAGAAAAACGCTCGCTTCTTCGTTCTTGAAGTAAGTGCAACTCTGTCTGTTTGCCTAACTAGGGGTCTTACCTGGCTTGCCAAAACCTCAAAGACCTAGACGTTTTTGCCAGAACTCAGGAAGTTAAAGTGGACCCTGATAAACCACTAGAAGGCGTTCGGCTGCTGGCACTGCAGGTAATTCCACTTCCATGAGCGGTGCCGACCCCTGGCCGCCAAGGGGGACGCCGTTTCCAGGTAGCTGGTCAGTGCATACGTCTGTCTTGTGTTTAGAAAGTCGGTGCTTCTGACTTCCTCCAGTACAGAAAGTGCCCTTGGTGGTGATTTTTCCAAAAATAGTTGAAAGCATTCAGCTGTTTAGCATTTAGTCAATCAGGAGTCCTGAATGTTGCCAAATTCGGAGGTAAAGGCTATTGAAAACAGTGGCATCCAGGCATCGGAATCCTGGCAGAACCTGTGGTGTTCCAGAACTGAGGAGCTGGAGCTAAAATAGGTGACAGCACTTTGCCGTTTGAAATGAGCATCTAACGAGCTTGCTGAATGCAGTCATTTGCTCCTGGATGACAGACGGTCACCTGTCATGTTCTGATACTATAAAGAGCATGGTTAAGAACCGAGAGATTTCTTCTCAACACTTAAACTTTTTAAATTCAGGCATGCTCTTAGAATAAATTGTCATTTTTCACTTCCTAACCAAACTAAAAAATGATGGCATTGAAGCATTCTCAGTTTTGATGTGCTTCATCAGAAGAGGAAGATTACAACATATTTAGTTCTTTTCACCACATAATTCTTCGAAACATAAATCATGATTAAGAAGTCTGATGTGTCCTCAAAATATTTCTATTAGAGGACTGTTTCTCAGCTTAAAATATATAGGTCCCTTTTCAAGGAAAACAAATCCCCCAGGGTTGATTTAAATTAGTTTACTGTTATCTAATTTAATATGATAAACATAAAACTTGGTATAAGTTTTAATGCAGATAGCTTTTATGCAACTATAAAACCAAAATAAGGGTATATGTTAAAGGCAAACAAGACTATAAAATCAGCAACATTCGAATGACCCCGTTAATTTAATGCCTGGTTGATGTGACTTTGCCGAAGCTAATCACGCTGATAGTGTGAGTTGTAGTACTGGACGCCACACGGCGGGATCGTTGTCGTTCTGCCTTACGCTGCGACGAGTTGTGTGTGACTCCGTTCTCCCACCCATGCTGTCAAGTCAAACTCCCGAGAAGCCCTGGTTAGAGGGGCACTTTCCACACTGTGTGGTAAGGTGAATGGCAGGGTGCATTCTTGCCAGGGCTGAGAGGAGGGTCCTGCCCTGGGTCCGAGCTCTTGTGGGAGGTCATTTTGTGTACTGATTGCAGTTCAGCCTGTCAGCCGTATTTTCCCAGTTAATCATTTTAATAAGCTGGAAGTGATAATGGCCGTAGCAGGGAAGGGCAGCAGTCGGCAGTCACTCCTCTCGAGGCACAGCTCTGTCCAAATGTTTCCCTGTATTATTTTGCTTAGTTCTCTGGTAGTCCTGTGGGAGTCATCTCTGCTCCTCTGTCACACCTGAAACCAGAGGCAGGGAGGCTCCCCCTCAGGTTACCGCACATCAGTCAGTGCAGCCAGGATGCTGACCCAGCCATCTGATTCCAGAGCCCGTCCTTGCAGGTGTGAAGTTCAGGGTGTTCTCAGCTGTCGGCCCCTCAGAGCAAAAATCAGAACCCTTCACCGTGCAGAGGTCAGCCTTAGCCAAGTCAGCCTGGGAGGGGAATGCAGCCCTGAACTCCTCCATCATTTATTCAGGCTGAGTAAGTAACTGAGCTCTCTCCCGGGATGTCTCTGTAGATTATGCAAGGGTAAGCCTTGTATAATCTGGACACAGGGATGGAGTGTGAAGACACCATCACACATGTGATCCCTGCTTTCTGGTGCTTACAGGATCCTCAGTGGTCTTTGGAAACTTTAAGGACTTAAGAATCAGCGGGGATGCAGGTAAAAATCCATGTCACTGAGCCCCTGCTGCATTTGGGCAGGCAGTGGGTGACATACACAACCTCAGGCCACACCCGAGGTGACAGGCACAGCGGCCAGTGCTCGGAGCATGCACAGCTTCCCAGGCTGAACCCCAGACCTGTGAATCAGTCTCTAGAGTAGCATCAGACTCTGTTGAATGAGTTTTCTGGGTGTGCTCCAAGCACTCAGGCTTGTGGACCACTGGCTTAGGTGATGCTTGCTAGCCCTGGCCACACTGCTGTCACTCAAGGAGGTTTGAAGACTGTTGGCCATGCCAGGTTTCAGTCAGCCTCTAGAGTGAGGTCTAGACCTCCGTAATTCTTAAAGCTTGGTGGTGTTTCTAATACACGATAAAGGCTGAGATCCACTGAGCCAGGGGATGAGCAGGTTCTAGAAAAGAGGGAGTGATCCCCATCATGTGGCGCACAGGACCCCAACTGTGCCAATTAGGGGAGCCACATGTCCACCGCTCAGAAAGGCAGCGGGGCAGTTACAGCTGCCTGTGTTGAAGTGCTTTGCTCTCGTGGTTGACAAGCCGTTGTTGAAATAGGCCACACAGATGTTATAGGTCTTTTATTGGTCTTGAGTTATCATCTGCTCAAAAACTAAAATATACTATTCTTTTTTTTTTTTTTTTTGAGACGGAGTTTCACTCATGTTACCCAGGCTGGAGTGCAATGGCGCGATCTTGGCTCACTGCAACCTCCGCCTCCTGGGTTCAGGCAATTCTCCTGCCTCAGCCTCCTGAGTAGCTGGGATTACAGGCACGCACCACCATGCCCAGCTAATTTTTTGTATTTTTAGTAGAGACGGGGTTTCACCATGTTGACCAGGATGGTCTCGATCTCTTGACCTCGTGATCCACCCGCCTCGGCCTCCCAAAGTGCTGGGATTACAGGCTTGAGCCACCGCGCCCGGCCACTAAAATATACTATTCTTTACATGAAAGATGTCTCAGATCTCATGATTGCCTTGTGACTTACCCTTGCATAATCTACAGAGACATCCCAGCCAGTGGTTTTCAAACTTCCGTGTGTGTCAGAATCACTGGAAAGCTCATGAAAGCTCCCCCACCCCCAGAGGGGCTGATTCTTTTCCAACAGGTGCCAGGGGTGCTGATGCACTGGGCCGGGGCCTTCACTCTGAGAAGCCCTGTTCTAGAGGTTTTCACAATAGGCAGGAAAGAACGGAGCAGAAGTAAAGGGCTATTGGCATGTGTTGGTGTATTGATTATCATGATTACTGATCTCTTTGACTGTGATGTACTGAACAGTCCCACTAGGTAGAATGTTTGAGTAAGTAAGGTAGTTATGCGGTGCTGTTTCTGATCACAACATTGTTGTCACTGGGTAGCACTTGGTGCTGACAGCAGAGGGGGCACAGGAAAGTCGTGGTTGGGATTTTGTCAGAACTGACCCAAGTTTGGATTTCTGTTGTCTATTTTTACCTGTAACGATTTTGAATGGCAGGTGAAGTCAAATTAGCGAGGTTAGTAAACCCTCCCGCTCTTGATAGTAAGGAGGTACCAAGTGGTGATTGTAAGAAAACTCCACCCCACACATTAGTTAATTAGGTTTTCAAATAAGTAATTTCCTTGGTGCACACACACACACACACACACACACAAAAAGCAGATAATAGTAATTTGTCTTTTCCTGAAGTTGTAAAAACATATATAAGAAAGTCCTATGGAAAAATTAAATTTTGTAATGTATTGTCTTTTCTTTAAAAGAACAAAAAAACATTGTTGGTTCCAACACCACGACTGAGAACCGGGTTGTTTAATAAGATCACACCACCCCCTGGGGCAACTAAAGACATCTTGAGAAAATGTGCCACCTCTCAGGTAAGTGCTAGAAGCAAGGTCCCCACCTGGGGGAGAACTCTACCCTGTGAAGCCTTCTGGCGAGTTAGGATAGCATGAAATAGCATCACACAGTTGGAATTCATTTTTAACAGAGCCAAAATAGCAGAGATATTAAAGTATTCAAGAATTAATGGAGCCAAGTAGAAAAATGTGAGTAAATGGATTCTATTTCTGTAACTCTATTTGTATTTTGCACGAAATTGGCAAATTATGAATTCCTTATTGTAAGAGAAGGGAAGACAAGTGCTCTGGTTCTCTGGCGCGCCCCAGTGTTGGCCTGCAGTGTTTAGTATTGTGTGGCTTCTTCCTTTTCCCATCTGTTCATCAGATGCCACCAGAGCAACTGGGAGACGGGGTGGAGTTTCTAAAATGTGCTCCATTGGAAATTGCCTCACCAGTTCTAAATGAGTAATTGCTGACCATGTTTATTTAAAATTTTCTTGAATGCCTCACAATTTAGTAAAGCTGAGTGTGTAAATATCACATTAGTGTGCATTATAATAAAGTTTGTCATGGATTTTACAGTTAAGGAAGTCGAGTTTGGTGACTTTTTAAAGAATACTAAGGTAAACTCCAAGTCATCTAATGCCTAATCTACTGAGAATAAAAAAATAAGGCAATTCAAGATACCCTTTTTTATAGGATTTGCCACTTAAGCCTAATGTATAAAACTGGAATGTTTTATTGTTTACTTACTAGCACTCTGCTTATTCAAAAAATAGAAGTTGATATGCCTTATATAATACGTGCAATAAAGTAATGTATATGTGTGTGTGTATATGTGTGTGTGTGTGTGTGTGTGTGTGTGTGTGTGTGTATAGAGAGAGAGAGAGAGAGAGGAAGGAGCAAAGGAAAAATAAAGGTAGAAAAATGAGGCAATATCATGGTGATGGTCAGCATTCACAAATGCAAACAGTCTGTTCTTTGCAGGTGGTCGATCCCCACCCCCTGTGGCCCCTGTGAGATGAGAATGCAGGGCTTCTTGCAGTGTAGGGTGTCCTGGACTAAGCCCCCTTCTGTGCCTGTTGGGAGACCCCAAGCCTGCACTGACCCATGTGGAACTTGTCACAGCCCTCACTGGCAGGCAGGGCCCAGTGTCACATTGAATGATCAGCTACTGCTGGATAATGGCTGGAAGTGGCTTTTTCTTGAGATTTATATAAACTATGTTATGAGAATCATGAACATATTCAGCTTCCCTGTTCTTTAAATGCAGGCCTGCGTTAGTATAAAGTGATAGATACACTTTGGGGATATTTTTTAGAAGTGAGTGTATTGTACATAAAGATAGTGACCTTCAGGATTTTATAGTGAATAAATATGTCATACAGTGTTTCCTGACCATGTCTTATGTGCTAAATGCATATATTTCATTATTTAAGTCCAACACTGGTCCGATGAGGCAGAGAGCGGTATCCCTGTCTTGCAGGTGAAGAAACTGAGGCTCAGAGAGCTCCAGCCTGCTGGAGACCCATGGCTCAGAGGCTCTGGAACCCAGTTCCCTGGGACCCCAGCCCTGCGTTCTCACCAGTGTGCTCTTCTGCCTTATGGGGATAAACGATTTGATAAATGTTATGGAATCAGCAGCCTATGAATTTGTGCTGTCAGTTCCCCTTGGCCACTTTTCTGGGAAAGAGACTGGGGAGCTATGCCCTAACGTGGTTTCTAGAATACGGCTTCCCCTGAAATGCCACATCCCCAGTGCTGAGTGTGCCTGCTTCAGTTTTGTCCAAGAGGTTGACTCAAACCCTGAATGTACTTTGATCATGAATTGTAAAATGGGGAAGCAGCTGGAGTTAAGTTTTCAAATCCATCTCTATTGCAGGGTGTGAGGAACTATAGCGTCCCCATAGGCTTGGATTCCAGAGTCCTCGTGGATTTAGTTGTGGTGGGATCCGTGGCCGTTTCTGAAAAAGGTAAGATGAGCAAATGGGCACTCGGGTGTGACAGCTGTGCCTGAAGGTGGCTGCGTGCCAGGCTCTCTGTGCTAGGCTGCTTGTCTCTAAAAAGTCGCTGACGATTTCTGCTTTCTGAATTTGCTTACCTGGTCCCGAAGCCACTGCATTTTTCAATAATGAAGAATTGGCTCAGCCTACCCACTCCTGGCCCCAGCCCAGCATGTGTACAGCATTTTCACTTTTTTTGGAAAAATAAATTGAGATAACTCTCTCTTCAGATGGTGACACATTTTCTCTTTGTTCTTAAGTGAGCTGGAGCTGGAACTGAATTTCTTTTCAGTATGTCAGTAAATAGTTGGTTTTGGAGGGACTCCAGCTAATGGAAAAACAATATGTTCGAAGCTTTGCTTTTATTATGAAGCAGCAGACTCCTGAACAACATGCTGTGTCCCTGAGACTTCTTCCAGGGCCTGGTGCTTTGCCATGCTGCGTGTGAGGCGGGCTGCTCTCAGTCCACAAGGCCAGGGGGCCCTTGTCAGGAAAGCAGGGTCACTGCGCCACCCCTCACTGTCTCCACCTGCAGGGCGCCCTCTTTTTCCAGCTGCCACTGGAGCTGATGTGGGTACGCTGTTCTTTATTCTTTGTTTTCAGTGCATTCCCAGTTTCCAGTGCTTCATCTGTGTGATCAGGGTTTGGGACTCAGGAGCGCACCGTTCTGGTGCATGTGCTGTGTGCCAGGCATGCCAGGCAGGCACTGAGTGGTCTCTACCTTAGTGCACCGTGTGTGGGTGAGGCAGACACGAGCTGGACCAGGACAGGACATGACTTGCTCAGTGCGAGACACACTTCGGAACTCACGGGCGTGGGAGGAGGAGTCTGAGTAGGGACCTGCCAGCTGGGAGGGGACATGTCCTCAGTAGGGGCCTCAGGGCTGGCTCCTGCATGCTGGCCACTGCCCAGGCAGATGGGGCTGAAGGGTCCTCAGGCAGCGGGCTCTTTACTAGGTTGCTGCCCTTTCTTAGCAGCCTTGAGGCCAGACGACGGGATTTGGGCTCTTGGCAGTGGGAAATCGGCAAAGGTCTCCTCTTTGAAAGGAGCATCAGGTTCAGGGATGTATACAGAAGGAAGCAGTTTCCTAAGTGTCATCATTCAGATAACCCCCTACGTAAAATGGTTAAGTAGCCATGCATCTGCTTAGAAAATTCAACAGCACAGAGAGCTCTACCACACATCTTCCCTGTTCCTTCCCCAGCTGCCCCTTTGGGAGCTCCCAGTATAGATGTCGTGCATGGTAGCATGCATATGAGATACAGATATCTTTTTTTAAGTTCCGAGATACATGTGCAGGAAGTACAGGTTTGTTAGATAAACGTGTTCCATGGTGGTTTGCTGCATCTATCAACCCATCACCTAAGTATTAAGCCCAGCATGCATTACCTACTTTTCCTGATGTTCCCCCTCCCCCTGCCCCTGCCCTGACAGGCCCAGTATGTGTTGTTTCCCTCCCTGTCGATATGTTCTCATTTTTCGGCTCCCACTTACGAGTCAGAACATGCAGTGTTTGGTTTTCTGTTCCTGTGGTAGTTTGCTGAGGATGATGGCTTCCAGCTCCATCCATGTCCCTGTAAAGTACATGATCTCATTCCCTTTTATGGCTGCATTGTATTCCATGGTGTATATATACCAAAATTTCTGTATCCAGTCTGTCATTGATGGGCATTTGGGTTGATTCCATGTCTTTGCTATCGTGACTAGTGCTGCAATAAACATACATGGTATGTGTCTTTATGGTAGAATGATATATATTCCTTTGGGTGTATACCCAGTAATGGGATTGCTGGGTTAAATGGTATTTCTAGTTCTAGGTGCTCTAGAAATTGCCACACTGTGTTCCATAATGTTCGAATTAATTTACATCCCCACTAACAGTGTAAAAGCATTCCTACCTTTGCAGCATCGATTATTTCTTGACTTTTTAATAATCAGCATTCTGACTGGCATAAGATGGTATCTCATTGTAGTTTTGGTTTGCATTTCTCCAATGATCAGCGATGTTAAGCCTTTTTTCATGTTTGTTGGCTGTATAAATGTCTTAGTTTAAGAAGTCTCTGTTCATGCCCTTTGCCCACTTCTTAATGGGGTTGTTTGGGTTTTTTTCTTGTAAATTTGTTTCAGTTTTTCATAGACTCTGGATGTTAGACCTTTGTCGGACAGATAGGTTGCAAAAAGTTTCTTCCATGCTTTAGGTTGTCTGTTCACTCTGGTGGTTTCTTTGCTGAGACACAGGTGCCTTATAGCAGTTGTCCCCAGCTTTTTGGCACCAGGGACTGGTTTCATGGAAGACAGTTTTTTCATGGACCAGGGAGGGGATGGCTTCAGGATGATTTAAGAAGATTACATTTGTTGTGTACTTCAGTTCTGTTATTCTTGCATTGTAGTATATAATGAAATGATTGTACAACTCATAGAGTCAGTGGGAGCCCTGAGCTTGTTTTCCTGCAATTAGACGGTCCCATCTCAGAGTGATAAGAGACAGTGACAGATCATCAGGCATTAGATTCTCATGGGAGCATGCAACCTAAGTCCCTGGCACACACAGTTCATACAACGGTTTGCACCCCTATGAGAATCCGATGCCACGGCTGATGGAAGAGGAGGCAGAGGGCAGACAGTGATGAGAGTGATGGGAGCCGCTGAAAATACAGAGGAAGCTTCACTCGCTCCTCGCCTCGTGCTGTGCTGGTTCCTCACAGGCTATGGACTGGAACCGGTCTGTGGCCAGGAGTTGGGAACCCCTGTCTTACTCTGTGTGTGTGTGTGTGTGTGTGTGTGTGTGTGTGTGTGTGTGTGTGT